CACCACAGCACATAGCTGAGATTGGATTCCCTTACACAGCCTCCATCTGCACAGTATGTAGCTGGCTACAGATTGAAGCTGTGTCTGTCAGGAAATTCAAGCAAATCTCAGCTATGTGCTATGAGGGGAGGAGAAGATCTGTTGAGTGCCCTCTTTCATGTCTCACCCAAAAACAATCATCCCTCCTAGCACACAATATGTTATCCTCAAATTTCTCATCTTAGCAGAGATCCTCCCTTCCAAATCACCCCTCCCAGCAAAAATCCTATCCCCCAAATCCTCCCTCCTAGCATAATCCCCTCCCATTCCCCCTCCTAGCACAAACCCCCTTTAAATTAATCTTCCCAGCACAAATTCTCCCTCCCCACCCAAGATCCCCCAAAATTCTCCTTCCTAGCACAAATCCTCCCCAGCCCTCTCCTCCTAAACCAAATTCCCCCACCCCCTCCTAGCACAAATCCCCCCCCCCCGTGAAAAAATCCCCCTCTTAGTCCAAATCCCTCCACCCCAATCCCCCTTCCCAGTACATATCCAACCAAACTCCCTCCTTGCACAAATTCCTTCCCAATCACCCCACCTAGCACATACCCCCCCCAATCCCCTCTCCAAACACATATCCCCCCAATCCTCCCTCCTAGTCCTAGCATATTCCCCAACCCCCCTCCAAACATATTTCTCCCCCTCCAAACATATATCTCCCCCAATCCCCCCTCCTAGACCTAGCATATCCTCCCCTACAAACATATATCCCCCCAATTCCCCTTCCAAACACATCTCCCGCAATCCCCCCTCCTAGTCTTAGCATATCCCCCCCAATCCCCCCTCCTAGCACATATCCCCCTTATTCCTCCTAATAGCACATATCCTTCCACCCCAAGCCCCTCTTTTAGCAAATTTCCCCCCCAATTACCCTCCCCAGCACAAATAGTCGCCAATCCCTCTACCTCTCATTCCAAGCACAAGTTACACCCTCCAACCCCTCACATTATGTTTCCCGTCTGTAAGTCCCCCCCACAGGAGACAAGAGAGAGGCTGTGCTGTGTCCTCCCCCTCCTGTCAGTGCAGCGCTCCTCCACACACACAGAATTGTTAGTCTGGGCTGCATACAGTGTGATTACCAGCACTCTACCTCCTCCAAGGACTACTCATGTCCCAGCAGGAGGAAATGTGCATAGGGCGGGTGTGGAGGAGCGCTGCACTGACAGGAAGGGAGGACACAGCACAGCCTCTCTCCTGTCTACTGCTGTCACTGTCTGAACTGTACTAATCACACTTCACTGCACCAGTCTGCACATTCCTGTGTTGGGATGGTGCAGAAACTCAGCCGGCCAGGGGGGCACAACAGAAATCTAGGGGGGCACAGCCCACCCCAGCACCCCCCTGGATCCGGCCATGCCACCAGGTACATTACAGGCTGCTGCCACAGTATTATGATAGATTTAATACTGTAGCACCAAACATCCTGTTTGCAAGCACACCAGCAAAAGACAAACAGGATTATTCTGCATGTCAGTATTTACCAAGATGTGCTCTTTTACTGTACAATGTACCAGTTTACATTGCACCAGAGGTGTGTGCCAGTTTTTAATTTCATCTTAAAGTATAACTAAGAACAAAAAAAGGGACATCTTCCAATGGGGACACTAGTTCTGATAACCTGGGAGTCCCCAAGGAAATCCCTTAATTTGCAGGAATTTCCTCTCACTTCCTGTTTGGCTATGGAAAGTGAAGGGAAATCTCCGCAATGAGACACAGATGGTGAAAACAATTCTGACAGGGATTATAAACCAAACCAAACTGAAAAAAAAAAAAGTTTTGCCTATACTGTAGTTCTGCTGCTTTAACCACCTGCCCTCCAGAGGAGTTACCCCCCTTCCTGACCCGGCCATGTGATACGGTCAGGGGCAGACTGACCATTTGGAAGCTCGGGCACTGCCCGAGGACCCAGGGTCAGTAGGGGGCCCCATGAGATGCCCCTGGTACCTTTTTCATAGGCTTTTTTGAGTTTGGGCAAGGACACAGGGGCCCCATGATCCCCTATTGCCCGGGGACCCATGAGATGTCAGTCCGCCCCTGTATACGGTTCTGCGTTATTTTAACTGACAATTGTACGGTCATGCAATGCTGCACCCAAATGAAATTGATGTCCTTTTTTCCCACAAATAGAGCTTTCTTTCACTGGTATTTGATCCCGTGTGAGTTTTTTTATATTTTTTTCATACTTGTCTATGTTGATGTCTTCATGAAAATGCATTACAAGTAGAATTACATTCTTTCCAATGTGGCTGGTTCAGATCTACAGTATGTGCTGCAGTTAGTGTGAAATGCAAAGGAAAACTTTATAGACCCATTCACACCTACTCATGTGCATGATCATGTGCGCTGCATGCACACGGAGCAATGTAAATCCAGCCTTAAGGTGGGCTTCCACCTACTGGGCCAACTTATGAGTCATTTAGTGTGATGTGTAGCTTCAGTGTTCAATAAAGAGGCTCAGGAGGTGGAAGGGGCAGGTCCAAGCCTGCTTTACCAGAAAGTCAAGATTGACCTAAAAGATTAACTGTCTACTCCTCTAGTCCTCTGTATTCACTGAAATATTTTCTTTAAAGCCTAAGTGCAGCCAAAATCAAAAACAGAAAAGTCAGCGCAGGGGACATAATTTACAGTCAGTAGGATGTGTCCCTTGTGTTGTTTCCTCTGCTGTTAGTAGTAATTTTCCTCTGTTCTAACATCCCATCCCCAAGCCGTAATCTTCCAGTGTGGCGGGGATTAATACTAAAAGGCTGTCATAGGCCAAGCTCCGCCTTTCATAGAAGCCATACTACATCTTCTATGAATGGAACGTGATCTACAAATGGAGGAGGTGGAGCTATCATTCATCCATTCAGCCTCTATTTTTAGATTGCTTTCCATTCATAGAAGATGTAGTATGGCTTCTATGAATGGTGGAGCTAGGCAAAAAATGGAGTGGGAGGACATGATGGAGGAGATTTAGTATTAACAGCAGAGAAAGCCACACAAGAGACTCATCCTACAGGCTGTAAGTAATGTCCCTTGTGCTGATCTTTCTGTTTTTTTTACTTTAGCTGCACTTTGACTTTAATCTTTAAGCTGGTCATACATCATAAAAATTTTCTTGCTCAAATTCCTTTAGATTTACAGGTACCTTCAACTACAGTTGCAAGAAAAAGTATGTGAACCCCTTGGGATTACGTGGAGTTTTGCATGAATTGGGCATAAAATGTGCTCTGAACGTCATCTAAGTCACAACAATAGAAGAACACAGTCTGCTGAACATAATACTACACAAACATTAGATGTTGCCATGGTTTAATTGCACATAACATGTAAACATTCACAGTGCAGGGAGGAAAAAGTATGTGAACCTTTGGACTTAATAACTGGTTGACCCTCCTTTGGCAGCAATAACCTCAACCAAACGTTTCCTGTAGTTGCAGATCAGACCTGCACAATGATCTGGAGTAATTTTGGACCACTCCTCTTCACAAAACTGTTTCAGTGTAGCAATATTCTTGGGATGTCTGGTGTGAATCGCTCTCTTAAGGTCATGCCACAGCATTTCAGTCGGGTTGAGGCCAGGACTCTGACTAGGCCACTCCAGAAGGCGTATTCTGTGCTGTTGCAGCCATTGTTTTGTTGAATTACTTGTATGCTTTGGGTCATTGTCCTGTTGCATCACCCATCCTCTGCGGAGCTTCAGTTGGCGGACAGATGGTCGTACGTTTTCCTGCAAAATGTCTTGATAAACTCTGGAATTCATTTTCCCATCAATGGCAACAATCCGTCCAGGCCCTGAGGCAGCAAAGCAGCCACAAACCATGATGCTCCCTCCGCCATGTTTTACAGTGGGGATGAGGTTTTGATGTTGGTGTGCTGTGCCTTTTTTTCTCCACACATAGTGTTGTGTGTTCTTCCCAAACAACTCAATCTTGGTTTCATCTGTCCACAGTATATTTTGCCAGTAGTGCTGTGGAACATCCAGGTGCTCTTTTGCAAACTTAAAACGTGCTGCAATATTCTTTTTGGACAGCAATGGCTTCCTACCGTGGTGTCCTCTCATGTACTCCATTCTTGTTTAATGTTTTCCTTATTGTAGATGTGTCAAGAAAAATGTTAGCATGTGCCAGAGATTTCTGTAGGCCTTTAGCTGACACTCTGGGATTCTTCTTTACCTCATGCAGCATTCTGCGCTGTGCTCTTGCAGTCATTTTTACAGGACGACCACGCCTAGGGATAGTAGCAACAGTGCTAAACTTTCTCCATTTGTAGACAGTCTGTCTTACCGTGGACACATGAACATCAAGGCTTTTGAAGATACTTTTGTAACCCTTTCCAGCTTCATGCAAGTCAACAACTCTTGATCTTAGGTCTTCTGAGAGCTCTTTTCTGCGAGGCATGGTTCACATCAGACAGTGCTTCTTGAAACCAGTAAACCCAAAACAGGTGTGTGTTTTTTAAGGGCAGGACAGCTGTCAGCAACACATCCAATATCATCACACTGATTGGAGTCAAGGTTGGCTCACTCCTGGCTCCAATTAGCTCTGGGAGAAGTCATTAAGCGAGGGCCTCACATACTTTTTCCTCCCTGCACTGTGAATGTTTACATGTTATGTGCAATTAAACCATGGCAACATCTAATGTTTGTGTAGTATTATGTTCAGCAGACTGTGTTCTTCTATTGTTGTGACTTAGATGACGTTCAGAGCACATTTTATGCCCAATTCATGCAAAACTCCTCGTAATCCCAAGGGGTTCACATACTTTTTCTTGCAACTGTATGTAGTGGAAGAGCCTGTCTAATTGCATACAAATTTAAATTGTTTAGGCTTGACAAGAAATTCTACAATAATTGTATAATGTATGGCCAGCCCTAGTTTATCATATATGCCCTAGTTTATTATATATGTTCTATTAAAAAAGTAAACATTATTAAATATGTAAATCCCATAAATGTGCACACTTAAACAGAAACATTAGATTCAAGAATACGCCTTCAATTTGATTGAATGTATGACCTCTGAATTTTCCCAGAAAGGCCTTTTTCTATGAAGCGCCTTCATCAAGGCATTTTTTACCTCTTTGTTTCTTAGGCTATAAATAAGAGGATTAAGAGCTGGAGTGACAACAGAATAAAAGACTGATACAGCTTTATCCATTTCATGATTCTCTTCAGAGGATGGACGGACATACATAAAGATCACAGTGCCAAAGAAAATTGTCACAACAAAAAGATGGGACGTACATGTAGAGAAGGCTTTGGTACGGCCAGATGAGGAAGCTATTTGAAAAATGGTGGATATGATAAGAACATATGACACTATAAAACAAGAAGTAGGGAGCCAAGAACCACAACAGCAGAAACAATAAGGACAAAAGTATCTAAGAAGACTGTGTCAGCTGATGAAAGCTTTACCAGTGGACCAACATCGCAGAAAAAATGGTGG